CTGCGTGAACAGGGGCAGTCCTTGAAGTCGATCAAGACGAGTTTTTCCCAGTCCATAACGATTGAGGTGACGGGGGCGGGCTATTGCGGCCAGGATCTATCTGAGATGGTTCTCGACCAGCATCATTTCACATGCTTACCCATGGCGTTTCGAATACGAGCTACAATGGCAAGAAGTCGTGTCGACGCGATGCTGCTCAATGTAAAGGGAAGCGGAAGCGGTTAACTAACCAATGATAGGGTTGCGATATCCGTCCGCTTCCAAGTCCACTCCCCGATCTTGAGCTAAACCGGGAAAGCAAGGTGAGAAGTGGACGCGTTGACAAGCATCGATGATAAACGGACATCCGAACCCCTCAAAGATCTTCAAATAATTCTGAAACTCTTGTTCACTGAAAGGGAAAGTTGATCCGGGAGACGTCATGCCATCTAACAAGACCAAATGGATGAATGTATGCCAGCCTGTTAAACGATAAAAATTTACTAATGTAGCCGCGCCTGAGGATACCAATCGTCTCATTCTCTACCTCTCCGGAAACCGGTATATGTATCTGGAAGTACTCGACATGGGTCCAATACTCTGACTTGAATTGGCACTCTACAAAAAGTTAAATCGTATAATTTGGCTTGAGGAGCGACATGCTTACTGATCTCGCCCAGGGAGCCGAGACTCGCCATCCCTAGTTCGGCGAGCGGAGTTTCGTCACAAAGCCAGAACAACTGATGGTTTGAATGGTCAGCGAAGTAATACTCGATCACCAACCGGTCATCATCGGGGGAGGTGAAGTTGACGTAAAGCTCAGATTGACTGAAACGTCCCAGAGTCAGATGCTTCTTGAATTGGGCCTGCGTGGCAAGAATGATCCTTAGGAGGGCCGAGTCCCGCGGATCAGCAGCAGTGACGATATGCATATCCTCATGTGCGTAGTAAGTGTCACCATCGGGATGGACCCATGCACGCCATCCTATAGGAAGTGAGGACTGTCCGCTATACAATTTTAGAGATCAGAGAAATGACCTAGAGATAGGGAACAAACCCAGATGTTGACCTGATGAAACTGCTTACGCTCAGCGAAGCGATCAAGTTGGATGAGCTCGCCTCGGCACTGGGGAAAGGGCGGTTCCCGAAATATCAGCGCCCACGTCATCATGTCGCCAAACCAGAGAACTCACTGGCTCGAGGTGCGATAGCGATGGTTGTGAGATGCCAGAACAGGTATGATGATCACAGAAGACATGACCCAAGGTTGTTGTGGAGGAAAGCGTATCCGGTGCTTGAAGTACGGGGAACCGACTCGGCCTGTGGTGAGGGTCACACCTGGATGGAATGGGGAGAAGATGGGGAAGTGATTGTATGGTTGTATGATGGCAAGGTATTTGAGCAAGTGTGCTAAGGGGTCAGCAGACGTGAAGAGCTGTAATGTGCAATCGGTCAGGCCCGGCCTTCCCACCCAGAATCATGCTTCTTGTGGGGTCAAATTTGAACAGTCAGCAGTAGTTCTTCATCGTGTCAATAGTCCAAGGCAACTCACAGAGAAATACTGGCAGTCGCCTCTGCCAATCTCGTTGTTGATTGCGCTGGTCGAACTGCACTGTACGCAGCAACTTGGTTTTCTCGTTGACGCGACGCGACCTTGTGAGAGCGGACTTGCCGGGGTATCATGCCTGTGGTGCAGAGGCCGCGAGAGCAAGGTAAATGAGGGAGGGTAAATTCGGGCTTCTGGTCGTCATAATAGAGTCGTATGGCCTCCCAGGGGCTATATCCCTTGATTGAAGCAAAATATGCCGGCGGTCAAAAAAAAATCCAAATGCTTCTCCAATGGAAAATTGAACATAGAAGAAACGCAGAAATCCCGCAATATTTTACTTCTCACAGAACCCTCAAGGCTGTTATCCCCGATCTAGTCTGGATGGCCTATGAAACACCATGTCAAGGGCTGGGTAGAATAGTAGCATCGTGCGCTTGGGTTGGAGTGCTAAGCCTAGTTTTGACTATTCCAGCATTTAGAGAGGCATGACATTAGAGAAGGCCCGACGGCAGAGTGGGGCGAGCCTCCATCTGCATCTTCGATGGTCCCAGAAGCGCCCACTACCTGCCAGGACTGGCCGTTACAGTTTACAAAATGTACGGAACGATTCATTGATCGGAATGCTGTACGGGGGCGATTCTATACATTTTTGGACACAGCTCATCTCTTCTACACGCGGCCTCCTTATCGCCACTCGATCACATCCACGCCGTAGAACTTTCCGAGGAATCTTACGACATTGAATGCTATCCAAGGCCACACGCTGCAATAGCCCTAGTATTTGGCATATAATTGTCCAAGCAACACACTACAGCCGCTCACCATCGCCACGACGTTGATCCCCGCGTTCAGCCTGGCAAATTCCCTTTGATGGACATGGATTCCCTTTTGACGGAGGATGTTACGCCATAGGAGGCCAGCGAGTGATGCAGAGAATGTTGCGCTGAAAGCTGGGTCGAAGTATGAGTTTTAAATAATAATAGTAAGCTCAGCACGGGGCATGATAAGATCCGTAGAAGCAGGAGGTCAAAGCGCACCGCCATAGTTTGATCCTAGCGCGAGTGCATACACAGCCGCCTTCATAGTCCGATTGGAAGGGGCGGCATCTACCTGCCATTGCTGCAGGACTCGAGCTAAGAGAATCGTGGCTCCTATATTCGTGCCCATGAACTAGCGACGAAAAGCCACCCGGGTCGGTGAGCTGGGCGCATAACATGGAGGCAGGTTGTGGACTCACGTTACATCCAGCAACCGTCAACACATACATCCCGAGAACAGCGCCGACTGTACCCGTCCTATGAACCCATACTGTCCACCATCTCGCAAAGACGGCAATCCAAGCTGAGCCGAGAGACTGGACTAAGATGAACATGCAGAACGCGAAAAGGATGGCGAAGAACGGTAGGCGGCTCATGACGAGGTGACATGTTGGTAAAGCGTGCCTGGCGCGCCCGAGGGGTCTTAGGTCCCGAATCCAGTTGCGTGTTCGAGATCGGTTCATCACTTCACCTGAAGACCGTCCCATCACTCCTCCATCCTCGCCTTGCTTTAGGGACTGGACCCTGAGTTCAATGGGTTCGACGGGCTCAGGTTGAGCGTTTTCTTCGTTCCTGTTCGTCGGTAGGTCGGATTGCGAGCGATCAGATCGTGTCTGCTGCATTTCATGCCCCCAGATATCCCACCAGATGTCACGTATGAGCATGATGAGTGCAGCAGGGACAGTGATCGACCACACTTCGACATTCACCGCAGCGGCGCTCGTTGTGAGAAGTGTCACTAACGTCACCATCAACAGTACGGAGCCGAATATGGCGCCATTCTTATCAACCAACGCCGTGCTCGCAGGGGGGAGGTCGTTCGTGTATAATTCCGTCGGGATCAGTGCCATTTGACGAGGTGTGATTCCATTCCCATCTGACTCTGGTGGTAAAGGATACGACCCATTGCGTGCTGAGCGTCCGGATGGTACAAATTTCGATCTGAACTTCCACAGGAGGTAAGGTAAGAGCGCGATGGCGGATGTTAGTGACGGGAGGATGACGTTTGCAGTATATGTCGTGAACGAGATTTGAAAGGCTCCCGTGAGGACCAGGTTAGTGGGATTGGAGGAGACAAGGACAGCCGAAGCTGAAGGAAAGAGGATCATGAGCGCCTCGTTCATGTGCGGACTGATACAGTTCATACGTGCCAATGTTCGCGGCACTGAACTGAGCGAATATCCAAGCAGTGGGGGGAACGATACCAGCGACTCGGGTCATGTAGGCTAAGAAAGCCGTACCGCTCAAGATGACGGGGTCGTTGCCTGCGATTACACCCGCGAAGAAGAAAAGCAGGTAGAGATAGATGTACAATCGTTTCCCGGAGTTGGACTTGGATAGGAGAAAGAAGGCGAGAAACCGAATCAGTCCGGTTGCATCCAGGCTGATGGAGATGTACTATTATGGCGAAGTTCACTTCAGAGATCAGAGCACTTGTAGAGAGTTGTTTGAGGACACGGTCTTTGGCACGCACTGCGAGACTTATGAACAGAGCCATGATGTCTATTGGCTTGATCCCATCCGCGCCTAGTATACCCCTCTTGAGGGTCGTACCGTTAATCGCTCTGCTGGCGAGGAGGAGCAGAACTCCGAGAAGTGGAGCGATGACGGTGGTTGAGAGTTTGACATGCCGTCTTCGACCAGTCAGCTTGTAAGGAGCTCGGACATTGAAGGGGAACATAACGAGAACGTCTTAATGGCACCACAGTTGAGGCTGGGTCAACTATCGAGACAGGGTAGGAGGAACACTTGTACTGACTGGTAAGGAGGAAAACGACCATAGCCAGGATTGGCTTATAGCTGACGATCCTATTATTCTCAATCGATGTATCCATAGTGAGACTTAAAGATCATATCCAGGTCTTTGTCAGCATGACTTTCGACGGCGGCGGATGGTTGTGGATGCCAAGACTCCTCATGGTGGGAAGACCCTGCGGCACGTGCAGCGCAAATTTGACACTCCAATATTATTCCTCGTCATCTTGCCTTCTGGTGTCGCTATTTCTCGACTTTCTAGAGACATAGACTCCTGCGTTGTGGATTCCCTACTATCTGGATGACCTTCGGTCCAGGAATCAATGCCTTCCCTGTGGCTGCATCCCACCCATCAAGGACTGCGACGGCAACGATTCCACAAGCAGGATGAGCCAACGTATATGAGCCATGCAGAAGGCCAGCTTTTGGATAATCACAAAAATTAGGGGTGATCTGTTCTAACTGGCATGCCGAATGGGTGATATCTCGTATCCCGCCTGGGACTGCTCGCACCCTCACAGGTTCTCAGACAATCTGCCGTGCATTAAGCTATCCACGGCTATAGGCTGCTATGGAGTGATATACACACACTTACATGGTTAACCTCACCTAGATGGCTGTCAATTTCGGTGGCGGAGTATCAATCGCGAATAACTTCCCTGTTTTCCTCTTTCTCAACTGCCTTTATAGCTCAGTGGTAGAGCGCAGCACTCGTATCCTATTGGATTCACATGCTGAGGTCTCTAGTTCGATCCTGGATGGAGGCATCTATGATGGCGGGGCATCCAGAACTTGTATCTGGAAGTTTCCAGCATGGTAGGGGATTTTTGACTCGAACTGACGCTCTGATCACTAAAAATTTGGCGTCTTCGTTGTTTTCTCAGACTCTACAAGAGACGGATATCTCCGGGTCATAGACGTGCAACGATTCCCCAAAATAACATGTTAGGGTGACGGCCTGGAAGTTTGCCTTCGCTCACGTCTTCCACGTGATGACTCCGAATTCTCAAGACCAACGGAAACAGACGCGCAGGCATTATGATATCATCTTATAATGACCATGTTTGAGCTTGGGGAAGTGATCCTCTCTTTTTGTACATTCAAGCTACCCTGAAGCTTTTGGCTCCCTCCATTATTTTGCACACTTTCTGCTTCCAAAGCCGCTATGGTTCTTTAACTAGCTCGTACAGAGCGAATCGATGCCACGATACATGAGCATCAATACAGCCTAATCATCAAATATATCCTCGAAGTAGACCGTACCAGGATCAACCGCCGCCGTCAAGCCAATGGCTCAGGTCCCATGGTCGCTATAACCATCGGCACACCGATCCACGGTGAATCAAATCAACCTCCTGGTGCGCAAGACTCGCCTCCGATGGACTTGATCGCCTAAACCAATGTTGAGTGCATAGCAAGCGCCTCCGACGTCGTCTCCACGTGCTCAAGCAATCAGTTCGCATACGTGTTCTCCGGCGTTTAGATAAAAG